ATCTGTCGTACATTAGAAACAAAAGATTAAACGTGAGAAAAATGTTTGGGTTTCATAGTGGAGCAGTTAAGTGATATAGCTCTCCTGGAAGGAAGAACTAATTTGCCAGTAAAAGGCAGAGAAAAGAGAATTCAGGCAAACAAAAAGCGAGCAGATGATAATGAAAGCGTCTTAAGTGTACCATGCAGCAGTTCATGAAGCACCCCAGCTGCAGAGAAGCCAGCTGTAGAGGAGCCCACTTAAATCAAATGGCACTTCTCCCAAACGGGAAGGAAGGAAGGAAGGAAAAAGACTGGTAATAAGAAAAGCAGTGTGCTCACATACTTGGAACAAAGGCTTTTTTGGCAATACACTGTAGTATGGCAATATATATTACTGTGGTATATTACATGTAAATCCAGAAGAGAGACAAAGAGAAAAAGGAACCATTATTATTGCAAGCTCAAGTTCTTTGGCTCAGTTGCAGCCATGATGACTTTTATACCAGATGGCTGTTCAAGCAAAGCAACTGCTGCTTGCATGCAATGAGCACAGTCGAGCCGTAAATAATGGAGCTGCTGTTTGTGCAGTGAGGTCAGACTGATAAGTGCACGGTCAAAAACAGACCATAGTATCTGTTCGATTATGTCCTGTGAGGGTCTGCCACAGGAAGCATTGATTTTAAGTGTTTGTGTTCTCCTGCAGGGGTAGGAGTGTTTGGGTGTGTGGTTGTGTCCATATGACCACAAATGTGCTGATCTCTGCATGCAAGACAAAATGTCACAGCTGTCACAGTCTCATAAGGCTATGATGCAGTCTCGTAAGGCTTGTCCTCGCCATCTCGACCTTTCACATTGGTGGTGTATCTGTATCGAGGATAGTGTAGGGACGCCCCGCCTTCTTCTTTTTCTTCTTCTTCTTCCTCTTCATCAGATCTATCGAAAAGGTAGCGTCTTTGGCTAGGCGGGCTGGAGCAAGGAAGAACAAACAGATTTTTTTAATTATTATTTAGAAAGCGAATAGAGAACAGTATGGAGGCTGAAATCTGAGAAATATCCTCGAATGTTTCTCAGTTATTATTTCATTTGTTCATTTGGGGCAAAAAAAGCTTGTGAATCTGATGACATTTTCTGTATTTTTGTAGAAATATGAAAACAGGCATCACGTTTTTACACAAGTGATAAAATTAGATAAATCAAATAAAACAAGTGGAACCAAATGAACTGACTTGGTTGTTTACTTGAAACACTTTTACCCCCTTTCCTCCACACACAACAAAACACGGCTGACTTATCCACCTGACTGTGATTGGTGTAGTTTAAACTCCTAGCAATTTCAATGCCTTTTGCAGCCTGTTAAGCATAAACATGCCTTCCTTTCAGAATTTTGTAATACCAGATACATTTTCTCAATAAATAGATAAAAAGGTTTGGCATGATTTCATTATTTTAAATTATTTCTTTATCTGCTTTTAGTACTTGAGTCAAAATCCAATAACATTTGTACAGAAAATATCAGGATTTACAAACTTTTTCTGGCAGCTGTACAAACAACATGTACACAAAACACTCTGTGATATTAGGGTTGCCACAAACGATTATTTTGATAGTTGACTAGTCACCGATTATTTTTGTGATTAGTTGACTAAT